AGCTGCAGCAGGGGAAGTTGAGGTTGGATATTAGGAAAAACTCACTAGAACGGTGGTGAAGCACTGGGACAGGCTCCCTAGAGCCTGGAACAAACCGGCTCTTGCCCCTGCTCTAATAGCAAGGACTCTGGAGCCTTCAGGATGAGCCACTAATGCAGGGGTGAGTGGGCTGACACGGCCCCTGCTCTTGTCCCGGGGCTGGGGGACAAGCTCCCAGCTACCCCGCGGTAGCTCCACAGCAGACACCCGCGCCGTGCTGGAGCTCAGCTTGCCTGGGGCAGCGCAGCTGCGGCCATCCGGACACCCCTGGCAAATCGCTGGCGTCCCCTCATTGCTCCCCAGCTATGAAGGTCCCTCTCAGGCCCTGCTGGCCTCAGGCACCTCCTGCTTGGGGAGGCCAGGACCGCCCGGCTCCATCCCCCTCCACTGGGGACAAAACCGCCCAGCGTACAGGGGCTAAAGAGCCTCGCAAGGGCCCGTGACAGCCTGATGTGCCCACGTGGTGTTGGAGAGGCCAAGATGGGCCCTGCCCTGAATCAGACCCTCGAGGCTGCAAGTGGGAGAGGAAGAGGGAAAAGCCCTGGTCAGCCCCGGTGGCTCTCCCATCCAGCACCCACCCTGTGCCACCATGGGACACAGGGCAGGAGGGTCCCAGGGTCTGGGCCAGTATGTGGCAGCTCCCATGTCCCTTAAGCCCAGACACCTCCCTGCCGGGGGCTGGGTGCACCATAGTCCAGTTCAGCCCGGTGCCCCCACGTCCCCCCGACAGGGCTGGCGCATCCCCCCCCAGGCGCGGGTCGAGGCGCAGCCGAGTTAGTGCCGTTTACTGCGTGTCTGTACACGTTATAAAACACAGTCCGGTACAAAAAGCTTCCCCTGTACAGTACAAAGCGTACAGCGGGGTAAGGCCACCCGCGGCGTGGTGCAGACGGACGATGGGGGGGAGGGGGCGCAGCGGGCGGGGACCTGCGCAGGCGCCCGGGTTTGAGGGCAGACCCAGCTGGCTGCCCACACCTTGCTCAGATGACCCCCACAGGTGGGCTCTGGTCTGGGCAGTGCGGGGCTAACTATTAACACTGCTATACACTACTGTGTTGCTGTACTTCAGCGCCAGCCCTGCTCCACCCCACCAGCCCCATGGGCTGCACCAGCTCCCTGGCACATCCCTCCCCACCAGGCCAGGACCTCATGCTGGTGCCAGTGCCTGCAGCCGGGGCCTTGCCCAGTGCTGCCCAGTGGCCGCCTCTGCTGCCCCCTGCGCTCCCACCAGGCAGGCATGGGGGGTGCGGCTCCGCTCTGCCCCAGCCAGGCCGTGGGGACACACGCCAGTCGCTGGGAGCCTGCGGTGGGAGCCGAGCAGCTGTGGGCTGGGGCCAGCCAAGTGAGGCATCTCGCAGCTGGAGCTGCCCAGCGCCCGTGTGCCTGCTCCCAGCCCCAGGGGCCGCAGGCTCAGGGCACCCAGTGCCCCCTGCCGGGAGCCAGCTCTGAGCTGGGTAAGTTACTGCGCGGTAACAGCCCTGTCATGTCGTGTGCACACGCCGGCCCCCGGGGCAGGGCGCAGGCCGCTCCGCTGAGCGAGGGCCCGGCCTGCAGCAGCCGGGTGCTTTGGTGTGTACGGCAGGCACCCCCTCGCCCCGCCAATAAATAAATATGTACAGCATATAAATAAGGCAGGCAAGGCTGCAGCGCAGGGCCTGGCCCGGCCGCTCCTCGGGGGTCCCTGAGAGCTGACCCCCTCCGAGGAGCGGGCCTGGCTGCTGTGCCCCTCTGCCACCCCCCGGCAGCCCGAGGAGGCTGCTGGGAACCCCAGGGGGCAGGCCCCCCCCCGGCTGCAGAGGAACAGTCCCAGTCCCATCGAGGCCACTCAGGGCCCTGGGATGCTTTGCATGTGCTTTGGGGGCCCCAGTGCTCTGGGCAGCAGCTCCCAGGCCAGGCCTGCTCCACTGCCCTGGGGGCAGGGAGCACCGGGTGCCCAGGACGGTCCTGGCTATGCTGGGCCAGCGCGAGGGAGGGCCCCACAGCCGCTGCGCACTGGGCCTGCTCTTCTCCTTGGGGTGACACCCCCACACCTCCCACATGCCCCGGCTGGAAGGCAGCTGGTCCCCAACGCATGAAGCCCTGGCTGTGGTGAGCCTAGGGGCGATGGAGACGTGCACACGGGCTCCGCCACCAGCCCACGTGCCGCCTCCCCTGCCCCCACGGCTACCCTGCCCTGCTCAGTCCAGCTTCTCCAGCACGGAGGGCACGTAGACCAGGCTGAGCTCGCTGCCGAAGTTGCAGACGATGGCAGCATTCTCCAGCACCAGGATCTGCCGGGCGGGCTGCGACTCGTTGCTCTTGCCCAGGTAGACGGTCTGCAGCAGATCCCCGTAGCCGATGTCCCAGAAGGAGACACAGCCCTGGCCCCCCGTCACCAGCAGGTTGTCCGAGATGACACCCAGGCTGGACCCACAGCCCATGTCCTGCAGGAGACATAGGGGGGCTGTTAGAGGGGGACAAGCTAGCCCCAACCCCGGCACCTGCCCCTCCTCCAGAGCGTGCCGGACAGACAGACAGCCCTGCAATAAGACTGCGGATGGCAGGGGTATGATGGGCACAGAGACCATTGGTGGAGGAAGAGCCAGGGACCCTGCCGGGAAACCAGCCAACCTGGCCCAGAAGGTCCCTCCCA